TCCAGCTACTTGGGAGGCTGAGACAGAAGAATCACTTGAACCTGGGAGGCAGAGGTTGCAGTGAGCCAAGATTGTACCCCTGCATGCCAGCCTGGGTGACAGAGTGAGACTGTGTCTCAAAAAAAAAAAAAAGCCCAAGGAATTGGTTACTGATAGAATCTGGAAGTCTGTCCCCTCCAAATCTCATGTTGAAATGTAATCCCCAGTGGTGGTGGCAGGGCCTGATGGGAGGTGTTTGGGTCATGGTAGCAATCCCTCATGAATGTGCGGTGCTGTCCTCCCAGCAATGAGTGAGTTCCCACAAGACCTGGTTGTTTAAGTGTGTGGCACCTCCCCCAGCTCGGTCCCATCCTCATTCCCATTCTCACCATGTGGCACGCCTGCACCTCTGTCACCTTCTACTGTGACTGTAAGTTCCTCAAGACCCTCAACAGAAGCACATGCCGGCACCGTACTTCCTGTGCAGCCTGAAGAAGCTCTTTCCTTTCTAAATTATCCAGCTCCAGTTATTTCTTTATAACAATGCAAGAACAGTCTAATACAGTTACCATATGACAACGACTCTTCATAGTTCAAAAAAGAGAAGCCAGATATCAGCAATTTCATATGAAAATTGGCCCTGAATTCACCAAAACCTTCACATCAACAGTTGGTCTCCTTCTACCAAACAGAAGAGACCATTCACAAGTACTGTTGGATTGGACCTAAGTTAATAAAAGCTCTATTTATTTTGGAATCTCAATGATCTAGATCTCTTTAAAACCATTAATTTGTTCCTCTAGTTACTAGAAAGGGTAGGGGCATTGGTTAAAATCTTATCTCTCACTTAGCAGCTGGTTAAAACTTTGTCTAGGCCAACTACAGTGGCTCACAACTGTAATCCTAGCACTTTGGGAGGCCGAGGCACGCAGATTGCCTGAGCTCAGGAGTTTGAGACCAGCCTGGGCAACACAGTGAAACTCAGTCTCTGTTAAAATACAAAAAACTAGCCAGGTATGGTGGTGTGTGCCTATAGTCCCAGCTACTGGGGAGGCTGAGGCAGGAAAACTGCTTGAACCCAGGTTCAAGGTTGCAGTGAGCAGAGATCAGGCCACTGTACTCCAGCCTGGGCAACAGAGCGAGATTCTATCACCAAAAAAAAAAAACCACCTTGTCTATCACTTAGCAATGATATTCCTATTACTTTAGAAATGTCATTTAATCTTATAACCTAAATTTTCTCTTCTTCAAAATGTCCATCACAATAACGCTTTGTAGAGCTGTAACTATTAGTGATGGGAACGGCGGCCAGCCTGGAGCAGGGGAGGCATGGCCAGGGATGCAGCTCTGTAGAAGGGGTGGGGGAGAGCTGGGAGCAGGTGGGAGCCCCTCCCCTTCTGAGTTGGCAGGGCGGGAGACAAGTGCTCCCAGTCATAGCTTCCGCCTCCCAGCCACAACTGTGGAGCTGGGCATCCCAGTGCTCTCAGGGGCCCAGGAAGCCTCCCTCCCCCCACAGGCTTGGAAGTACCTGATCCTGCTGCCTGGCCTCTCCCAGCTCCTTGCACCTGCTCTGATTTTGGAGCAAAGCTGAGGCTGAGCTTGGATGCTGCTGCAACCTGGCTGGGTGTGTGCTGCTCAGGATGGCACTGACACACCAGCCCCCTGCCACCTCAGCCCCCTCGAGACTTTGGGAGCCCCTCTGGACTTTGCCCGTCTTGACCATGAGCCTGGGAGGGAGGCCACAGAGTGGCTGAGGGTGGCTCATTGCAGGCTTGCAGGCACCCCTCAGCACAAATAGCCTGGGAACCTTGGATGACATGATTGACAGCAGAAGGCAAATAGGCTCCTGGGCAGAAAGGGGCAGATACCTGGTGACACCCCATCTTCAAGCCAAGACTAGCCTAAAACCTGGGGACCCACTGTCAGTTCCCAGGGAAGTCTATGGCCCAGGCTGAGAACTTATGGTGCTTTTTCTGGCCTGCCCATGGCTGCCCATGGACCAATCAGCATTCATTTCCTCCCTTCTGAGCCCATAAAAACCTCAGACCCAGCCAGGCTTACACAGACCTGGGACTACCAGCTGCACAAAGGAGCTAACCACCGTGGGTCTCCCAAGAACTGTTCCGCCACTCAGGGAAGCTCCTCTCAGCCTTGCTCACCCTCCAGTTGTCCATGTATCTCATTCTTCCTGGATGCAGGAAAATAACTCAGGACCCACCAAATGGTGGTACTAAAAGAGCTGTAAGACAAACAGGGCTGAAACATGTCCCCATGCTCAATACGTTGTAGGCAACGAGAAGGAGAGAAGGGCTGTGGCCCTTCCGAAGCCCAGATCTAGGGGGTCCTCAAGCCAGGGCTATTAACACCCTCTTTGGGGTTCTGTGGTTCCCAGCACCTTCGTGCTTCCAGATGCCGCCATGTTCCCCTTGCCCAGACCCAGGCGCCCACAGCGAAAGCTTCATGAAGTACATCTGGTCCAGCCACAGCCCTGCATGGAGCCACTCACCTGAGCAGACCCTGCACTTGCTCACCCACACACCCCTTGCCACTCTGCACCTGGCTTGCCCCTGGCAGGTATGGGATCTGGGCTGGTAGAATGAGCTGAGTGCAGCCTGCCAGGCCAAATGGGTAGAATAAGCCCAGTGGGCACAAGCAATACTCAGGCAGAAGGCACCGCTAGCCACAGAGGTTTCCAGCTGGTGAAGCCACACCCCAGGGATCCTGTAACATTAGGCGCAGTGTTAAAAAATACCTAGCAGGGGCTCAATAAGTGGCTTATTACTATCATAAGTGTCTACAGGGCAAACAAAACCTTACAAACCTTCAGGAGAGAAGATACTGTCTTAACACACTGCACTGCTCCAGCCCTGTTTGCCTGATGCTCCACCCCCTCCAGGGCCCCCACCAGAAAGTCTCTCTCTACCCTATACTATCTGCACCTGCCTCCCCTTATTTTCGTTCACTCTGAATTCCAGTCAATTATTTCTTGTTTACTCCCCCTTTTCTTCTTCTCTCATCTCAATACAGCATCTTACAGATCATCTTCATGAAATGGGAATCCAGTTTCATAGCTAACATCAGCAAAATCCCCACTAGATTATCTACATGGCAGGCAAGAAACACATGGCGGGTGAGGACCCTTAAGTGAGGAGCAGGAACCTGCAAGGGTGGGTTGGGGTCAGAATTTCACAAGCCTCAGGGCACAGGCTGCCCCTGCTGGGATGACATCCACCAAAAGCTGAAACAACAGTGTCCCAACTGGATGTGGGTCCAGAATGACTAACTCTGGCCATCAACAGGAATGCCCAAGGAAGGGACACGGGACAGGATATTTTCACAGCTCAGACAAAAGATAATGAACACAAGCACGGAATGAGGAGCATTGAAAATGAAGGAGCGAAGCTGACAATCTAGGGAGTGCTATTAAGCCTCGTAACTTCACAGAAGCAAGGAGGAGGTGTGAGAAAGAGCAGGCTGTGGTGTTCATCATCTGGGATTTTCTCTTGTTTTTTTTTGGTAGACGGAGTCTTGCTCTGTCACCCAGGCTGGAGCGTAGTGGCGCGATCTTAGCTCACTGCAAACTTCACCTCCCAGGTTCAAGTGATTCTCCCGCCTCAGCTTCCCAAGTAACTGGGACTACAGGTGTGCACCACCACACCCGGCTAATTTTTTGTATTTTTAGTAAAGACAAGGTTTCACCATGGTAGCCAGGATGGTCTTGATCGCCTGACCTCGTGATCTACACGCCTTGGCCTCCAAAAGTACTGGGATTACAGGGGTAATCCCTGTGCCTGGCCTGGATTTTCTCTTTGGGACATGTGACTGAGGTTGAAGTATTTTCAGAATACTCAGGGAAAGACATTTAGGAAGTAGGTGGTGATATACTCCAGCCACTCAGGCTGATTTGGGAAGCAAGAAATTGTAGGAATGGACACGATGACCTGGGAAGAGCAATGTTCAATAAAAATATAACATGAGCCACAAATACAAGCCATACACGTGGTTTTAACTTTCCTAGCAGTGGCCAGGCATGGTGGCTAACATCTTTAATCCCACTATTTTGGGAGGCCAAGGAGGGAGGATCCCTTGAGCCCTGAGTTTGGGGCTACAGTGAGCTATCATGGCCACTCTACTCCAGCCTAGATGATAGAGTAAAACCCTGTCTGAAAAAGAATAACAGGCCGGGCACAGTGGCTCACGTCTGTAATCCCAGCACTTTGGGAGGCTGAGGCAGGCAGATCACGAGGTCAGGAGTTCAAGATCAGCCTGGCCAGCATGGTGAAACCCGTCTCTACTAAAAACACAAAAAATTAGCAGAGCATGGTGGCGCATGCCTGTAGTCCCAGCTACCTGGGAGGCTGAGGAGAATTGCTTGAACCCGACAGGCAGAGGTTGCAGTGAGCCGAGATCACGCCACTGTACTCCAGTGTGGGTGACAGAGGGAGACTCCCTCTCAAAAAATAATAATAATAATAATAACAATAATAAAATTTTCTAGCAGCCACATCAAAAACATAAAAAGAAACAGGTGAAAATAATTTTACTAATATATTTAACTCAAACTATCCAAAGAGAAAGGGAGCCACAAAGGCCAGGAAAGAGCACTCATTAAAAAAAAAAAAAAAAAAAAAAANAAAAAAAAAAAAAAATTGAGGCCAGGTGCAGTAGCTCATGCCTGTAATCCCAGCACTTTAGGAGGCTGAGGCAAGCAGATCACTTGAGGTCAGGAGTTCAAGACCATCCTGGCCAACGTGGCAAAACCCCATCTCCACTAAAAATACAAAAATTAGTCTGGCGTGGTGGCACACCTGTAGTCCCAGCTACTCCGGAGGCTGAGGCATGAGAATCATTTGAACCCAGGAGGCGGAGGTGCCAGTGAGCCGAGATCCTACTACTGCACTCCAGCCTGGGTGACAGAGCAAGACTCTATCTCAAATAAAACAAACAAAAAAAATAAGCAAATTTGGTTTTGACTAAGACACATCGGTTCCTCACAGGACACAAGTAAACACGGTACTCACTGTTTCTGAAGAGGAGGATGATCTCTGTAAATTCTCACTTTGTACCCAAATGCTCTCTGTCACAAATGCTATGTGTTCTGCTTCAAGTATAAAAGGAGACACAAGAAATAGGGCCCACTTGTTCAAGTCTTCAATGAACTATAGAGAGGGAAAGAAACATAATGAGATTGTCACTTCATACCACGACTGCCATAAATTTCAACACCCTCTGAAACATACCCTCCCTGTAATTCCAAGTAACATAAATAAGATTATCTGGGCCAGGCACAGTGACTCATGCCTATAATTCCAGCACTTTGGGAGGTCAAGGTGGGCTGATCATGAAGTCAAGAGATCAACACCATTCTGGCCAACATGGTGAAACCCTGTCTGTACTAAAAATTAAAAAATTAGCTAGGCATGATGGTACATGCCTGTAGTCCCAGCCACTTGGGAGGTTGAGGCAGGGGAAACACTTGAACCTGGGAGGTGGAGGTTGCAGTGAGCCAAGACCGCGCCAGTGCACTCCAGCCTGATGACAGAGCAAGACTCCCTCTCAAAAAAATAAAAAATTTAAAAATTTTTAAAAAAGCTTATCTGATGCTCTTCTGCAGGCCACATGAACCCAGTGTTTCTTATTTAACTGTGACTATTTAAGCACCTGCAATAGCCCATCTATGACTCAGGACAGCTTTAACATCTCTAATAACTGTTTTCAAGCAATGAATTCTGAAACAGGGCTTATCCCCACCATTCCTCACTGCTTAGCACATAGGAGCTTCCGAGATCAAACTGGGAAGCACATTTAACGATAAGGAGGCTGGTGGCATGGTGGCTCACGCCTATAATCCCAGTGATTCAGGAGGCCAAGGTGGGCAGATTGCTTGAGCCCAGGAGTTCAAGACCAGCCTGGCCAACATGGTGAAATCTTATCTCTACAAAAACATGCCAAAAAAAATTAGTTGGGCATAGGGGCGGGCACCTGCAGTCCCAGCTACTCAGGAGGCTGAAGTGGGAGGATCACTTGAGCCTGGGAGCCAGGGGTGGCAGTGTACTCAGATGGTGCCACTGCACTCCAGCCTTGGGCGACAGAGTGAGACCCTGTCTAAAAAAAAAAAAGAAAAAAGATGAGGAGGCCTAGAAGTACATATCAGCCGACAGAAGCTCCTTAGAAGCCTGAAGGCTGTTCCTCCATTCCCTATAGCTATCACAGCATGGGGCACAAGGCAGTTTTTCTTTCCGCCTTCCTTATAGTGAAATCAACCCTGCTCCTCGCCCTGAAATCTGGGAAGTGTGCAAGTCTCTGGATGCTCACACAGCAGTCAAATCCAGAGAGAAAAGCCATTTCAGGGAAAGGCATTTACCATATGCAGAGACGCAATCAGACATACTTTAACCGGAATATCAACTCCAGTCAGGAGTGATTTTAGTTTTTTAAAAGGAAGATTAGAATCAAGCTTGGTTAGCAAGTCAGATATACCCATTTATTTCTTGTTTTCTTTCCTGAAATCTCAGTAAGAAAAACAGCAAATTTATTTTTAAAGGCTTTGACTTTATGAAGAAAAGAAAAAGATGAAATCTGAGCTGGGCATTCCAGGAGCTTTCACCATCACCCAGGAAAAAGGTAACTAGGCAGCTCCACCGTGCTGCATATCAGATCAAATCTGCTTGATAAAAACCTATTGAACTAAATAATGAATGAAAATTTAGGGGAGAATTTGCCCCTCCCTGGATAAACATAATTATCAATACAGTGGTTAAAAAATATGTCCACTTTACACAGGCACAGAATGTTGACATTGCCAATTTGTATAAACTATTTTTAGTTATACTTATCAATGGATTGTTGGGCATTTAATTATAAACATATACATTCAGTATTTATGAATTTGACTTTAAATGTAGAACATATGAGAAAAGGCCAGACACGGTGGCTCACACCTGTAATCCAAGCCCTTTGAGAGGCCGAGACAGGTGGATCACCTGAGGTCAGGAGTTTGAGACTAGCCTGGCCAACATGGTGAATCCCCGTCTCCACTAAAAACAGAAAAACTAGTTGGGCATGGTGGCCTGTGCCTGTAATTCCAGCTACTCGGGACACCCCAGCAGGAGAATCACTTGAACCTAGGAGGTGGCGACAGCAGTGAGCTGAGATCTCGGACACTGCATTCCAGCCTGGGCAACAGAGCGAGATCCACCTCAAAAATAATATATATATATACATATATACACACGCATATATATGTATGAGAAAAATAAGGGCATGAGATTCAGATGAGTCCTTATTTCAGCCCAAGTAGACTGAGGTATCCACCAAATCATCAAACTAATCATATTTTAAATCTCAAAATAACAGCAGCCAACCACAAATAAATGGTCAAGCTTTCCACCTGCAGACCTTAAACATCACAGCTCAAACCCAACAACTATTAAATTTACTCTTTCCTTCACTGAAATACTGAGTGACTATTTCAGGTCAAGCTGCTATGCTAGATGGGCTCAGTTCCTAATAAGAAAAAGATACGAACTAGCACAGGAGCTGTGAGTTAAAGGCTATGGGGACACAGAGCATAACGGTCCCATCTAGTCCAGAAGAGTAGGAAATGACACAGCGATATCTAACCAAAGCTGTAGGCAAAGCTTACTGTGCAGAGTGGGAGAGCAGAGTTACAAAATCTCTGAAAGCAGCAGGCCACTCCTACTCAGGGCTGCGCAGGTGGGCAAGGGCTGAAAAGCACTAGTTATGGTCCCTGTAGTTAACAGAAGACCAGTGGAGTCATGAAAATCTTCAAAAGCAAAACTGTTTAAGAAAATCAGACATTTCCATCTCAATGTTTTTATATGTCCAAAATTTCTATTCTGACCTATACCCTAAATGTAATTGATCCAATTTGAAAACTACTATAAAAAGCTCACCCCTCAATTTTTTTCCCATTTTAATGAGTCATCTTTCTCAATCAGGTTAATTCCCAAGGCTCTAAGCCACACATTGTATGTAATAAATGAACTTCTTCCCCTTTTGTCTGGGTAATGCCAGTTATGTGGAGTTGGTACTAGTTATTTCTAGGTGGTACTAGTTATGTGCATAACTAGTACTTTGGGGGACCTAAGAAAACAGTCATTTATATTCAATGTGTCATAATACATACATGGTACTAACAAGAAAGAGTATATTTGATTTGCTAGTGGCACAATTTCATCCCACATCTAAGCATAGCCTCCAGGAAATGTTCAAGCCTGAGATAAGTTTCAATTTCGATTCAGTTTCCTACAGGAGCTTTACGGTGTGACATATGCAGGAAACGTCATTTTAATGCTAAAATGAGGCAACATTCCAGAAAACACATGAAAGGGCCAAGAAACTGATTAAAAGCAAAACATGTTTAAATATTAATGAGAACAATGCCAGCGATGTCCATGAAATTTTGTGAACTGAACAGTAAAGCCAAGCCCATTTCCAAAAACAGCTGAATGGAAAGATCTATTGTTCCCTTTACAGCAAGGCAGCAGAGTTTGTACAGAGATTAATTGACTGGCCCAAGTCACAATGTAAGTGACAGAGTGGGCTGAACACGTAACCACCATCCTAAGCACTGGATCAAAAAAACAAAGGCTGAGTGTCTACTGAAATTGAAAAGATGCAAAGTCCATCAGTCGGGTGCCCACATTGGTGAATGATGCAACTGACAAAAGATGGAGCGGAGGAAAGGGCAGTTTTTGTCACTTTGGGGACATCTGACAAAAAGCTGATGACATAGGTGGGGGGTTTTTGTTTGGGGTTTTTTTTTTTTTAAGACAGGGTCTTGCTTTGTCACCCAGACTGGAGTGCAATGGCTCAATCATGGCTCACCATAGCCTCAACCTCCCGAGCTCAAAGGATCCTCCCGAGTAGCTGGGACCACAGGTTCGTGCCACTACACCGACCTAAGTTTGTTTTTTTTTTTAATTTTTTGCAGAGAGGGATCTCCTATGTTGCCCAAGCTGGTCTCCATCTTCTGGGCTCAAAGCTAACCTCCCTCAGGCCTCCCAAAGTGTAGGAATTAAAAGCCTAAGCCACTGCTCCCGGCTGGCCACAGCTGTCTTTCCAGGTTCACGGTCACCCAAACGCCGGCCCGCGGAGTAGGAGAGGAGGTTGGGGGCGACCCCGGGTGGGAGCTGCAGGCGTCCGGCTGCCACTCCACAGCGCGCGTCCTCACAGGTGCACGCCTAGAGCCACGCGGCCACGCACCGCCCGGCTGGCCCGGGTCCGTGGTCCCAGCCCCGCACCTTCGGCCCGTCTCCGGGCCCCGGGGTACTCGCCCCTCCCGGGCCGCACAGGCCACACTGAGGGCGCCACTCCCGGGCTCCAGAACTCCCGGGCTCCAGAAATCCCGGGCTCCCGGCGGGGACGGGGTGCAGGGCCCCGGGGCGCTTCCGGCTCGCGGGGCCCGGGCCGCCCGCCCGCCCGACCCGCCCACCTGGCTTTCGCTGACGCAGAAGACGCGGCCGCCGCGGCTCAGGCACACGCGGGCGCCGGGGGGCTGCGCGGCCGCGCCGCAGAAGGTGAACGAGCAGCACGAGGCGCGCAGCCGCCGCACCGTAGCGTGCACGAGCGCAGCCGGCCGGCGACCCCAGCGCGCCCACAGGTACAGGTAGCACAGCGTGATGAGCATGGCCGCGCCGCCGGCAGGGCGCGCCCGTCTCGGCCGCCCGCCCCAGCGCTTCAGGCGCCGCCCCGCCCCGGCCGGAAGGGCGCGCGGGGGTGGGGACGCGGGGGAGGCGGGGACCCGAAGGGGGCCGGGGCCACTGGAGGCTGCGGCGGGAGGGGCGGGGGAGGGGGAGGCCGCGCTGGGCTGTGTGCTGGGGAGCTTCGAAGCCGCGCCCCGGGTGGGTGACGGCGGCGAGGGGCAGCGTCAGGGCGAGGGGTGTGCAACGGGGTCAGGGGACGCCGAGGCTGCACCCGGGGAGGGGGTTCAGGAGGGGGTGGAGGCCGGGGTGAGCGGCGGCGCCGGGGCTGGGGAGTGGGATGGGCAAGTTGTGGATGCGGGGGAGGGGAGGCTCCAGTGGCTGCCCGACCTGTTTAGGCCAAGTCCTGCCTCCCTTCCTTGGAGGGGTGGGAGGCGGATTGAGGAGGGGTCTCTGCCAACGTTTACTAACCAGCACCACGGCGGGGGCTCACA